ACTCCATGGAAATCCCTCGACAAACTCTACGGCCGTACAAGAACACCACCCGCACTGGCATCCACGCCGCGCACTTCATCCGGCTCCAGTTCCGCACCGCAGTGCAACGCGCCACCCAAGCCATGCTGCCGTCCCTGGTCACTGACCATGCCCATTGCCCCCCAGGAGACTTGGACACGTTGACGTACGACACCGTCGTCAACATCGCGGGCCACGTGCTCAGCCTCTCCAGTCTGCAGCAAGCGGATATCCTTCCAAAGCGAACCGTCGAGCTCCAACACAATGACTACTGCGTGCCGGTGACCTTACTCGGGCCTATGGCGAAGCTTCAGTGGGACATTGGCCAATTGGTGGTGCTTTACGGGTGTGTCAAACGACACTACCAAGGGCTTACGAACCTCGAGACCACCCGCTTGGCTTGGCGCTGCGTCAATCCACCCTGGCTCAATTTGACCCCGCCTACCAAAGACAACGCCGCCGCCAGTCCCGCCCGCAAAGCTTTGCGTCGCGAAAACCTAGCCCCGGTGACGGTCGCCGCCCTTCTCGCGACCGATCCTTCCGACGCATCCGTGAAGGCCGTTGCTGCGCAGCCTGCTGCGGTCACAGAAAAACTCTTCGAAGAAACCCTCTGGGTCGCTGCCGACCGCATGAGGTTGCCACTGACCTTGCACGACTCCTCTGGCGAGGTCCGTTGCACCTGGTGGTCTGCAGATTAGGGCAGAACCTTTGACCTCGAACAGGTGTCCACCATGTTCACCCAGTGCAACACGGAAGATGGACAGGCAACCTTCCTTGCAGCCATAAACACAGCCATCGCCGGAGAGGCCCGCTGGGTGCTCCGCCCAAAGATCTGGCACCGCGATAACGGCTCCCAAGAAATGCAATGGCACGTCGTCTCCACCGAGCCGCTCAACCATGCCTTCGCTGCCCCGCCATCTGATCCCTTGGGTCCCACCGCACCAGCTACGATCCCCGCCGCAGCGACGCAACACGAGGACGAGGCATTGACTGAAGGCTAGCTTGGCGTCCTAAACTGCCCCTGGGTCTTCCACATCTCGCCACATCGACCCACGCAGACTTGCCAAGCGCACTGTGACCTTTTGTGCTTGTCACCCGCATTGCTGAACCAACGAAGGTGCTGCAAGTGCCCTTGCCTGACACAGAACACATTGTTTCTACTGATTGCTTGCAACATACAGAACATCTAATTTCTTCTGTTCTCACATATTTTCGTTGTTTTCTGTGTCAGCCAACGAAGCCTTGCAGCGCCTCCTACAGCTCGCACAGTCTCGCTGGTTCACACTGCCTTTGCCACATGGCAACGCTTCGCCCGTGCCAAAAGATTGCACTCGCGCGCCGCTCTCCTCCTCCACGCTCCTATACAACCTCACCGAACCATCCATGCCGGTCATTTTTTCTCCAGGTACCTACCGCGTAAGCTCTTCAAGGTTTTCCCTG